TTGCCTCTCTAAACTAGGGCAAAACCATCATAAGTCTAATAATTTACATAGTCTTAAGTTCACCAAGATTTAAAGAACCAATTATCCTAAAGAGGTGAAAAGGTCTTTAGGATAATCCTGTCCAGTTGCATCACCTTACCAATGAGAATACAGAAGCCTAAAGAGTAAGGAGGGTAAGTAATTTGACTGCAGTCATAAAGCTGGTTAGTGGCAGAGCAGACCCAGGACCAAGGTCACAGAATTCTAGTTCTAGTGTTCTTTCGGGTAATATGTGAATAGAAGATCTGTTAATAAGATAATTATTAGAATATTTTACAAAAATAAATTTTATATAACCATAACAAAATACAATAATGTTTGATTTTGCATATTGAATAAAAATATTTATATTAGAAAATGTATCTGACTACCTAGGTTCATATTCTTGCTTCACTAGTGGTATGATATGGGTCAACTTTCTTAAACTCTAAAGCTGAATTTCTTCATCAATATAATAGAGCTAATCAAAGTATTTTGTTATATGTTAAATGTAAAAATCTCCTTAAAGCGTGGCATATGGACAATTCTCAGTAAATGTTTCCTGATGTTGCTACTGATACATAATCATTTCTAGTTCTTTCAACATTTCTTTAAATTTAATAAAATTTAGCATTGAGAATGACTGGTAAAGAAAATAATGGTGGATATAAGGACAGATTTACCTTTTTTCCTTCTAAAATATTTTAGAAGGTAGAAGGTAGGTGTGTGTGGGGGTGGATTTAGACTTGAAATTAGGGAAATATTTTTTTGTATTAAGAACTTAGGATGGATTTTTTTTTTAAGAGGGAAAAAGAGAGAGAGAATTTTTTAATATTTATTTTTTAGTTTTCGGTGGACACAACATCTTTGTATGTGGTGCTGAGGATCGAACCCGAGCCGCACGCATGCTAGGCGAGCGCGCTACCGCTTGAGCCACATCCCCAGCCTGGATTTTTTTTTTTTTTTGTACTAGGGATTGAACCTGGGGTACTTTGCCACTGAGCTATACACCTACCCTTGTTTCTTTAAAAATTTTTTGAGTGAATGATCTGTGTTGCTTAGGGACTTGCTAAACTATTGGGGCTGGCCTTGAGCTTGTGATCCTCTTGTTTCAGCCTCCCGAATTGCTGGATTACAGGTGTGCACCACTGTGCCCTGTGATATGGTTGTTTTTATGTATTCATAACTTTTGTTTTTTCCCCCAGTGCTCTTCTGTATGAGAATTGAGGGTATCTAAATTCCAGACTCAAGAAATAAGTTATTTTTCTATCTAAAAACAAGTTATTTTTCTACTTTAAAACCTTAATCTAGGGCTGGGATTATAGCTCAATGCTACTAGCACATGTATGGCATTGATTCAATCCCCAGCACCACATTAAAAATATAAATAAATAAAACAAAGGTATTGTGTCCATCTGCAAACAACTAATATATATTAATATATATAATAAACGATTAATCTACAAAGATTTAAGAATGAAGGATAATGAGTTGTGTTTTCACACTTGAGTCACGGTTCACTTACTTTTGACCTGTGGGAAAGTGGAGGGAGAGAGCTGACTTGTGATGAGCAACCCCATAGGGACAGGGCATTGTTTTCTAAAGTGTGCTGTTACTCACATTATGTAGTGGTTTAGGAGGTGTTTATAAATGGTATTTGAGTGACCATTTAAGTTATGATTAGGTCTTTTAATGCCAGTTAGGAAAGTTTATAATATATCAAATTGGTTGTCATAGGTCTTAATATTTAAGGAGCATACAATGTTTCCAAAAAAAGCAAATTGAAACTCTGATACACAATATCACATAGATGGACCTTGAAAGTGTTATGCCAAGTGAAAAAAGTGTGTCCTTTTCACTTTTTGTATGATTCCACTTGAAAGGTTCTTAGAATAGTCAGATTCATAGAAGCAGGTTATCAGAGGCTAAAGAGAGGGAGGAATGGGAAGTTACTGTTTAATGAGCACAGATTTTCTATGTGAGGTAATAAAAAAGTTCTGGAAATGGATAGTTCACTTACTTTTGAACTTACTTTTGGTGGTTGCAAACATTGTGAATGTACTTTCTGTGAATGAATTGAACACTTTAAATTGGCTAAAATGATACATTTTGTTATGTATACTTTACCACAAGGGAGACAGCATTATGATGAGATGTGTATGTGTGTATAGATTATTAAAATAAGTGGTTAAGAAGAATATTAAATAGTGACATAGGCACTTGGCAATAGAAAAAGGTTGAGGTAGTACGGAAATTATCGAAGTTTGGGCAGCACTGGGATAGAGATCAGTGGACTGGGGAGACCTGTAGCCTATGTCTCCAGTCTTCCCCTTGCCATGAACTAGGAAGGTGGGCCTATACATGACTTACATACACCATATTAGTGAGAAGCCAAGACCTCTGAGATTGCTTGGTATCCTGAAGTTCTCTGATTTTTGAGTTATGTCATTGAGTTCTTTATTCAGAATTCCTATTTTACCCATTTCATAGAATTTTGTCCTTTTTAATAAAATTTAAGAAAGAAATGCATATTTAGAACTTTAAATGTGGCATTAGCATTTAATCTCTTAAGAACCATAATATTAAAGCAAAACATGAAAAAGAGAAAAATCATGTAAACTTGTTTGATTGCACTTTTTTAAAAAAAATCTTTGTTTATTAATTTATTTTTTATGTTGTGCTGAGGATGGAACCCGTGCCTCACATATGCTAGGCAAGTGCTCTGCTGCTAAGCTACAGACCCAGCCCCCTTGATTGCACACTTGTTACAGTGGGTCCATCTTGTATTTCTTGCTTAGGCTGCCATATTGTTATTGATTTTTTTTTTTAATTTATTTTTTAGTTTTAGGTGGACACAGTATCTTCATTTTTTATTTTTATGTGTTGCTGAGGATCTAACCCAGTGCCTCATGCAAGCTAGTCGAGCACTCTACCACTAAGCCACAACCCCAGCCCCCCATATTTTTTTTTAAATATATATTTAGTTGTAGATGGACACAATATTTTTATTTTATTTATTTTTATGTGGTGCTGAGGATTGGACCCAGTGCCTTACGCATGAGAGGCAAGCACTCTACCACTGAGCTACAACCCAAGCCCATGCCATATTGTTTTTATGTGGTGTAATCAACTTTGCTTTTTAGACTTTGGTCTGCAAATATTAATTTACAGTTCACCCTTTAGATTATAATCACTCTTAGCAAATGAAAATCTTAAATGTGTTTAAAATTTAAAAATTTTAAGTAAAATTTTTAATTTTAAACATGTACCTTATTTTGGTAGGTGTTATTCAAGTGAATCTTGTGAATTGTTTTAATATTAATCCTCTTGTGCTTTATGTAGTCAATATCGCATATTAAATGCCTCAGTATTTTACTAGGATATTTGGATCTTTGTTATAAACATTTAGGCAGTTGGATATTTGATATTTGGAATCCCATCTATAAGAGGGGAGAAACACATAATAACATTCTCTTAACTAGGGTCCTAAACAGTGCTTCTTTTTATCTGCTATTGGCCATTTGTTCTGTGTTTATGCTTTCATCTAAAATTTCAGTCAATTGCTGGATCTGACTCTGGAACATAATGTGTTTCCTTAGTTTGCTTTCACATATTGAATTTATTTTATTTATTTTTAACCTTCTTTTTAGTTGTAGATGGACACAATACCTTTATTTTATTTATTTAGTTTTATGTGTGCTGAGGATTGAACCCAGTCAAGACTGAGGTACAACCCCAGCCCCACATGTTGAATTTATGATTCAGATATGAAAGAGTTGCCCAGGCTAACACTTAAGTTTCTTTTACCACGGACCTACTATTTCATTTTGTGTCCTTTCCGAACTGTAACATCTTACCTTATCCACGCTTCTGCCATGCTCCTGCTCTCTCTTGAAATTCATTGGTGTTTTCCTTTTCCCTCTTCTTAAAATTTGGCTAGAAATCTTGTTTCATAGGGATTTCCACAATCATTTTATAAATTTTTTTGTTTGTTTCCCCTAAAAGGGAAAATTTAGACATTTACATTTATTAACAGCTGGACTGAATTTGGGTATTTTGACTTTACGTTTTTATATCAAGGTAATTTAGCAAATGGTTTCCAATTTAGTATATTTGCAAATAGTAATGATAATTCCTTCTTCCCTGCTGCCCCACCCTATCCCATTCCATCAATCAGTACTAATTGCTTTCCCTTGTCTGGTTGCATTGGCCAATACCTACATAATGTTCTGTAGTGGCAGGGGGGTCTGTATTTTTCTTAAATTTATAATTTTCTTTATCGTAGTGCAAAAGCCTATAGTGTTTCCTCATAAAACTAAACTATAAAACATTCCAAAATGAAATAAAAGAATAACAGGTTGGTTTTGTGTGTGCATGTTTTTACACATATTTATGAGATATAATTTTCATACAATATTTATCCACTGCAAAATATATATTTTAGTAGATGAAAACAGTATTTTTATTTTATTTTTATGTGGTGCTAAGAATTGAACCTAGTACCTCACACATGCTAGGCATGTGCTCTAATAACTGAACTGTAACCCCAGCTGTGAGTTTTTTAAAGTAAGTTTGTAGGTTGTGTAACTATCACCACAGTCTAGTTGTGGAGCATTTGCATCATTCCAAAAAGTTTCCATGTGTCCTTTTACATTGACTTATGTTGAGGGGTATATGAGGATATATTTACATGGATATTTTTGTGTGTATCTGCATATTGTATGTTTTATACCTGTGTAAATCATTTATTTTTATCATTTAAGGTAGTGTCCAATAATTTCTCTTTCATTGCCTGCTTTTAGTTAAAAGGAATAACATTAGAAAGTTTTCTTTTTGACATACATGGTTAAGTCATGTGTATCTTGTTATAGTGAAATAGGAGGGTTTTGTTACAATAAAATGTGGCAGTATTACAATAGAATTTGTAAAGTAAAGTCGCATTTTATATTCTGAAATGTGTTGTTCCATGTTGTTTGTTAAAGAGGATGGCATTCCCTGTGGATTTACTGAATAATTGCAGTCATGAGGAATTGGAAAATGCTGCTGAAGATTACATGTCAGATTTAAGGTGTGGGGACCCTGAAAATCCAGAGTATTTTTCTTTTCTCAATATTACGGTAAGGCATTTTGCAGTGATTTTTTTTTTAAATCAGTCTTTTCAGTCCAGTTTTTACATGAACTCAATATCCTTTTTAAAAAGATCATTTAAGAGTTTTAACCATTCAGTTTTGTCCAGTAAAATGTATTAATATTGGTTGATTAATAGAGCATCATGATCAATTTTGGCTTTTTTTTTTTTTTTTTCCTTTGATACTAGACACTGAACCCAGGAGTGCCCAGCCACTGAGCTACATCTCCAGCCTTTTTATATTTTATTTTGAAACAGGGTGTTGCTAAGTTGTTTAAAGCCTCACTTAGTTCCTGAGGCTTGCCTCAAACTTGGGATTCTTCCACCTTAGCCCTCCTAAATTGCTGGGATTACAGGTATACACTACTCAAGTCCAGTGATGATCAGTTTTTTTGGTACCGGGGATTAAATCTTTGGGTGCTTAACCACTGAGCCAGAACCCCAGCCCTTTTTTTATGTTTTATTTAGTGACAGGGTCTTGCTGAGTTGCTTAGTGCCTCATTAAGTTGACGAGGCTGGCTTTAACTTGGGATCCTCCTGCCTCAGCCTCCCTAGCCATTGGGATTACAGGTATGCGCCACTGTGCCTGGCTATGATCAGTTTTTAAAAGACAAAATCCTCAGGTTTTCACAGGTTATTGCTTAATGTTTTTCTTTTGATCTTTAAAATCAATTGTAAGAAGTTTATCAATTTTGCTTAGACTGGTTATCATATTGGAGCTGACTCAATTAAATTTACTTTGGATTTAGAATTTGTGAGTTTAGACATTTGTTTATAATTAAAAGAATCAGCAAAGTCAGCAGTGGTGATAAATACCTGTAATTCTAGCGAATAAGGAGGCTGAGTCAAGAGATCACAAGTCCAAGGCCAGCATTAGTAGAAGAGTGAGAGACCCTGTCTCAAAGTTGTAGATAAAATTCCCAGTACAATAAAACAAAAGAAGACTGAAAAAAAAAAATCAGGAAAATACTACATTACATTATTGGGTAATGAATCTTTTCTTCCTCTTTTGAAAAATAGTAAAATCAGATTTTCTTGTCAGTAAGCCATGGTACATTATGACACAAAGATCATTAGACTTTGAATCATTTGAATTCCATTGTGAACTGAGGTAAGCAGATTCCTTTAATCTCTGCACCCCAGTTTTTCCTTCTGGAAATAATGTTGATTTAAAGGATTTGTAATTCTTCCCTACCATCATAATGATCAACATTGAGATATTGACTTTAAGTGAAGAATTAGTGTTAGATTAATGCAAACAGAAAAAATGTAATTATATGTAACTTGCTGAAAAATGAATTACCAAACTGGTTTATTTTACTAGAAAATGAAATGTATCCCCCTGATGTAGTCTATTTTAAATAAAGATAATAAATTATCTTTATTTAATTATCTTGATTTTCAGTGACTTTTGGGGGCCTGTTGTATATGGCTTTTGTTTTTATTCAGTGATATGACTAGAGCCTAGTAATATTTATTGAAATAAATTTTTGTTTTTATTCCCCCAAGACAATATAATTCTTTCAAAAGCTATTGATTTTACTTTTTTTTTTTTTTTAAAATAAGAGACTAGGAGGGGCTGGGGCTGTGACCCAGTGGTAGAGCGCTCGCCTAGCATGCATGAGGCACTGGGTTCGATCCTCAGCACTACATAAATGTAAAATAAAGATATTGTGTCCACTTAAAACTAAAAAAATAATGTTAAAAAAAATAAGAGACTAGGAATATTGTCTTCTGTCAAATGAAATTATATAATTAAAATTAATATAAGAAAAGTTTGATACTTTGATAAACACTTTGGTGTTTTTGTCATGTATTTTCCTAACAGACTTTAAAAAAAATTCTTTTCAGTTATACATGACAGTAAAAGATATTTTAATGAATTATACATACATGGAATACAACTTCCTATTTTTCTGGTTGTGCATCTTGTGGAATTACATTGGTTAACAAACTCTTCACTAATCTTCTCTCAATTGTCATTTCAGATACCTATTAGCCTGTCAAACGTAGGCTTTGTACCTCTTTATGGTGGAAATCAGACCCAGAAAATTCTTGCTCTTTTTGCACCTGAAGATTCACTCACAGGTCACTCTTTTGCTTCATTTTTGTAAATCGAGGAGTTTTTCAACAAACTATTAGAAATTTATAAATATGATAGTGTCATGAAGGAATTTGTTTTTGAAAACTTGTTTCAAATTTTAATTTTAGAAAAATGTAACTCTTAATTTCTTATAATTAAATAAGTGTTTAATGGATGAAATAAAATAAATGGCATAAATTCGACCGTATTATGTTATAAAGTAGAATGTATGGGTCTATTTAAGAGTATAAACCTTATCAGATAATAATATTATAGACTTTAACACTTAAAATTTAAATGTTCATGATTGTTTATTCTGTTTTAGCTGTGGCACTTTACCTTGCTGATCAGTGGTGGGCTATTGATGATATTGTGAAAACATCTCTCCCTTCTAGAGAGGGTCTTAAGCAGGTAATGATCCTGTAAATCACTATTTTCTATAAACAGTGCTTGTTTTTGAAGTTATGGAACTCTTTCCCATTTTAATATAATCTGGTTATATTAAGACCTTAGAGTTTTATTTTATGATCAAACCAGCACTCAGGTTGGGTTTCTTCTATTTTATGTGATTCTGAAAATTTCTGTGAATTGGGTTAGGGAGACTGAATACCTGTGGGTTAGTTGAGCTGTGGCATTCTTTATCCACTTTAGCTTCTGATTTTCTTATTTGGAAGAGGAAAGCCTAATTCTTTTTGTGTGGTTACTTAACTTCTCTGCCTCTAGGAGACACTGACCAGGAAACTTGTTCTATTAGTTGGGCCTCCTCTAGTGACCTGTTTCGGGTTCTGAACAGTGGAGTAACCAGGCTCTGGTGAGAACAAGCTTCAAAAGCCTCTGTGGGGTGTGGAGTATAGGCCAGCCAGAAGCCATCCACTGCAGTGTTTGTTACAGAAGGAACCCTGGCTTGCATGCTGGTGTTGAAAAGATTTAAGAGACATTTCAGGTACTATGGTTTTTAGAAGATAACTAGGGCAGGAGGGGAAAGTCCACAGACACCAGTTGTAAAATATTTGAGGAATCAAGGTCAAAGATTGTAGACATGTTTGGTGGCTGGAAGAGTGCCATTTACAATGAAAGAGAATAGGCCCCTTCACTGGCTAAGGTACATCAGACCCTTCTTTCTTAAGGAGAATACTGACTTTATAGGTAAGCACTACTATTCAATAATAGGTACAGAGATCCTTGTTAATTATGCCTAAGAGGAAGAGAGTTTTGCTGAGAGGAATGAAGTTAACATATACAAATATGTATCCTGATAATTCATCCTTTAGAAGGTTTTTAGGATAGGCCAAGTGTCTAAAAACTTGTCAAATCTGGAAGGTGTCAGCTATTTCTGTTTACTTTTGTGGGATCATTGGACTATTCAGAAGAAACAAGGAAAGCATGAAAGCATGTCAAGAAACTTCAAAATCTGGGAAAAGAAAGCAAGAATCTTGCAGGTTACTGAGGTGTTCTCATTTCTTCCTTTTGGGTTTAAAAGTTGTTTTTTTTTTTTCTTTTCAATATTGGGGATTGAACCCAGGGGTACAGTACTACTTTACTACATTCCCAGCCCTTTTTATTTATTTATTTAGAATTTTGAGATAAGGTCTTTCGAAGTTGCCTGGGCTAGCCTTGAACTTGTGACCCTCCTGCCTTGGCATCCTGCTTAGCTGGGATCATAGACATGCACCGCTGCATCTGGCTTGAGATTACAGCTTTGAAAGTGATCACGCTTGTGATTGTAGGAGGAGTATAATACAGTCAGCATTTATCCTTTTGGATATTAATTTTTGAATTTGCCTTGAAATTTCAGTGCAATAGGCACCTCTCACAAAAGCTGGGAGAATGTGTATACCTGGGCATCTGCCAGTCTGATAAAGAACTTTGAACCAAAAATGAAGGGAAGGAGGGAATTCATAACCTGCATAAAGCCATCAGATGGAAGGAGTAGATAGTAATAGAGGAGAATAATTTCTTCTCAGGAATAGCCCTGATAGAGGAAATGTACATGTTAAGAAAGGTGTATAAAAACTTGACTGAAGTTTGACATATTATACAGGAATGTTAAAGGCTGGAGAAGGGGAAATCTTACGCAGACCATGTAGCCTCTCCTACACAAGTAAAGAAACTATGAAACCTTCAGGTATGAATTGGATTCCTACAGTAGGTTTCCTCTAACCTAATTACTTTATGACAGCAGCATCTTTTGAGAAAGTAGGAACATGAGTGAAGTAGCACTGCTGCTGTTGCCAAATCCTGACCACTTTGGAAAAATAGGTTGGTAAAGTCACAGGAGGGCATAATCGTTGTTTTTAATGAACTCATGACCTCAAGTAAATGACTTTACTTGAAAACTAGGAACCTCATTTCCCTCTGTCTCATATATTGTGGTAAAATTAAATGGGATAATAAAGATCATAACTCTGTTCCTAAAACTAAGTGCTCATTTATATGAAAAGGAAGTCTTCAGTTACATACTGTCCCTTTTTCTCTCCTGGTCACCATTGCTGGGAGGAAGACATAGGTGGCATACTTATCAATTCTGCCTGTCACAGCACCCGATAGGGGATCTAACCTTTGAAAGGTAGCATTAAGAAACACAGAGAAGGAGCTAACATGATGAAATTAAACAGGAAAATATGTAAAGAAATACTTTAGTTTTAAAAAAATAAGCTATATATACACACCATGAATACCAGATTGAAACAGCAGCTCATGTGAAAAAGACTTTGGCTTTAGTTAATTAGTAAAATGAAGCTAGCAGAAACCTTAAATCCTATTGCCTCATTGGCATCTTCAGTATTTATTTCTACAGTTCCTGTGTGCCAAACATGAAGAGAGATTTAGGGATATGGAGCACTTCCAAGAGAGGACTAGAATGGCAGAAGTACCACACATTGTATTAGATTAGCTTTTTCCTTTAGTTGTTCCATTGCGTAGCTTTGGTGTGAAATTTAGGGGAATATCATGGCCATCTTTAAATATTGGTGGTCTGTATGGCTGCAGAATAACAAAGTATAGTCTTTGGGAGCTAGATTTCAGCTTAGTATGGGAAAGAATTTTGATCAGAGCTGGGCAAGGAAAGAACAGGTTGCTGACTATGTTAGTGTTAGTCAATGCTGTCATTTCTTGTTGTTTGGTATGGGAGCTCTCCTGCCAGGGATATTTTTGAAAGTAGTGTGTGCATATGGTTAATCCTTTCTTCTCTTCAATTGACTAATCAGAGGATGAACTTGTTCTTATTTAAGGAGACTTAAGGGAAAATAGACTTTATGTAGAGAACTCTTTTGTTTTTAGCATGAAGTTCTATGAGGGGTGGTGAGAAACTGACTCCTTTATGTTAGAAGGTTGTTGGTATTATTGGGATACCTGTGACCATGTGGTCCTGTGTGTATGAGGTGAGGCTGTTTCCATTCTGTCTTTGCCCCAAGAATGTTTCACTGGACGTTTTTGGTGTTAATGTCCTCACTCATCTGGTCTAGGAGAGGGACATGGGGAGTGGTATGGAATATTCTTACAGTTACAGTAAGAAGAACTGTTAAATGAACATTCACCTGGAAAAGGTGGGACAGATGTCTTTCCCAAGGGCTTAATTATGGCTTCCTTCATCAAATGAGGTAATTGTTCTTAAAATCTTTAGGGAATAACACTCCCCCCCCCCTTTTTTTTTCCCTTTTTCCTCATTTTATGTGGAGGATGGAATGGGGTAAAAGGGTTGAAGCAGGATATATTGGGGGAGGGGGCTGCAGTTAGGGCTGGGAGACCGTGGATCTGCGTGGCTGGAAGCATAAAGACAACACTGAGCCCTGAAAGAGATGATGCTGGGTGTTTGGTGTGTTGGGAACCTGTTTTGCCTGTTTTAGAATTTGCTAAGAGGCTGTATTCCATGCATAAAATGTGTTTATGAAAATAGATTGTCTCATCTCTGTGATATAAAATGTTTTATAAATTATTTTAAATGTATTTGAGGTGCTCTGGATACCAGTGTGAGATGTGGGAGCAGGAGCAAGGTGACTAGCCGTACTAATGGCTGCATATTGTAACTGCTGTGCCTGCTGTTTGACTTTCTTTGTAGGTGAGCACTCTTGGGGAGAGAGTGGTTCTATATGTTCTGAATCGAATTATTTATAGAAAACAGGAAATGGAGAGAAATGAGATCCCATTCCTGTGTCATAGCAGTACTGATTATGCTAAGATTCTGTGGAAGAAAGGAGAGGCCATTGGGTTTTATTCAGTTAAGCCTACAGGTGAGTCTTTATAAGTTATTTAAATGTATATAATGGAAATCTCCATTTTAGAACCCTACTGTGTCAGTACTGTTAAATTAGTTTCTACAGTGTGAATTGAGGTGATTTTATTTAGTATTTATTTCTTGGGAGTGCTTTGATTCTACTATCCCATGAAAGTGAAAGTTATTGGGAAAGTCTTTTGGAAAAATAAATAAATAAAAATAAACATTTGGTAAAGGAGGGACAGTTTTTCCACATACACAGAGAAAGGGGTGTAGTTGAGCCTCAAATTTTTCTTTCTTACCCTTGCACTTCCTTTCTTTCACAGGTGGTTTTTTACTTTGATTTCTGCTGCTGTGACTATTACTGGCTCCTTCTAAAACCCCTGGGACCTAACTAAATGCATTGTTCATTTCTGCCTAGAATGATTCATTCAGTCTGACATATTACTGAACACCCTAATTGTCAAGAGAAACATAGGGTTTTAAAATATATAGAGGATATAAACAGCTTCAAAGTTGTCAGTCTCCTAAAACCCAGCTCTTCCCTGCTATTGAAAGCCTAGTGTGGCTTCACACTTGTTCATTCAGTTCCCTCCAGCCCCTGAGCAGGAAGGTTGAGTCTGTTTCCTCTATGTGCATGTACACCCATGCTTTCTTACCTCCAAGTCACCCAGTCTGCCTTGTTCTGTCTGCACCTTGATCAAAAGACTGTTTGCAGAGATCAGTTGTTAGTTTCTTTCTTTTTTTCATTACCAATATTCCAAATAGAGCTCTTCTGGTCAGATCCAGTCTAAAGATCATACTGAATTAACTGCTGAGTTGAAGGACAGTTGTGACTAATACCTTAATCCCGTAATCACTACACATGTGTGACTAGAGTTAACATTTAAAGCAAGGCCACTTTTTTCCAATAATAAACTATTGTGATTATAATTTTAAATGTTCTTTGCTTTATAGTAAATACTTTGAGTCTCTTTTATATGTTATATTATTCTTGTGTACCTTTGAAATAAAACCAAGGATTTGTGGAACTTCAAAATAATATTGAGTATGCACGAGGAAACAAGAATGTTGAATGGAAGTATAGTGCTCTTTTGGATAAAAGGCATCGGTTTAAATGTTTTAATAGTTAGAGTTGAGGTGTCATTTAATTGCTTTATGTTTTATTTTATGTGAGGTAATTCCTATGGGAATTGGAGGTTTTTTTTTTTTTTTTTCCTCCTTTGCCCCTAATAGTGGCTCTAGGAGTTTCCTACCTGAAATCAGCTAATAGACATTTGGAACACAGATTAGTTTATACCCTTTTTTATTGAGAACTTGCTTTCTATGTAAAACACACAATTAACTAGTATTTCTGATCAGTATTTGACTCCAGAAGTGTGTTTCTCTTTGTTTCATGTGAATATTGGGCTCCTTCTCTTTTGGGATCTGACTTCTGTTCCATGTTATGATAGTTTACTCCATTTTATATCCTGGAGCTTCCAAGCATTTTCCATGCTTTCTTCTAATTGCCTTATATTCTTAGTTTTGTCTCTCTGGACCAGGTAACAATAGAATTAGGTATGCTTGTATTAGTCTTTGAATCATTTTCCTAAGACTGATTTGTTTTCTATTTGTTGCCAAATGTACATTGTATTCATTAAGTCATATACTACTGGTACAAAGGAAAGTAACAACGAGATTCCCCTCCTTAAATAGACAACTAAAATGACTTTCTAAAAGATAACCTAAGTCAGGCGTGGTGGCACATGCCTGTAATCCCAGTGACTCAGGAGGCCGAGACGGGGGATCGAGTGTTCAAATCCAGTGTCCGCAACTTAGCAAGGCCATAAGCAACTCAACAAAACCCTGTCTCTAATAAAATATAAAAAAAGATGTGGATCATTGGTTAAGAAATTGTCTTTTTATAAAAATCAAGATTTAACATGTAGAACACTTGATTAGTTTCCAATAGATTTTGGGTTTAGTTGTATTGCTGCTATTTTGTAAGTTGTTATAGTCTATTTGCCTTTCAGTTTTATCCTTTAAGATATCTGGATTGACCAGGCTCTGAAGTTCTTTGAATCTGCAGTTAGAAGTTGGAATATCTATGGGCAGAAATCCATGGACTCAGGGCTGCCTTTAAATGAAAAAGCTGAATTTAAAAGAAATATAGTTCAGACCTTAAAGTTGAAAGACTGTGTTGGGAAAGGGTGAGTTATTTCCTGTAGTCTTGTGAAGAGAAGGCTCATCAAGAATAAATGAAGAGCTGGGCATGGTGGTGCACGCCTGTAATCCCAGCTTCAGGAGGCTGAGACAGGAGGATCTCAAGTTCAAAAGCCAATCCCAGCAAAAGCAAGGTGCTAAGCAACTCAGTGAGACTGTGTCTCTAAATAAAATACAAAATAAGGCTGGCGATGTGGCTCAGTGGCTGAGTGCTCCTGAGTGCAATCCCTGGTTACCTGTGCCCCCC